GAGAGTTTATAACTTACTTACCTATGAAATAAATATTATTTGACTTTGACTTTGTACGCTAAAAAAAGATAAATAAATAAATAGATTCTTTGAAAACTATGTTTATTTCTTTTGTTATTCTATTTATACGCAATCTGCGATATTACTTTTTTCACACCTTTGGCCATAAGTGATCAGCGACGCTATATAATAATAATATAGAGGTATAATATCCCACCACTGGGCACAGGGGTCATCTCACAATGGTAGGGATTGGCTGCGGTTCCCATGAGGGCTCAGTGCGGATTGGGAACTTCAAACACATGATTTGTTTCAATCAACACAATTTGTTTTGCAGACGTGTGCACGTGTGAATTTCAAATTAAATTTCACACATAAATTCTGAAAACTCAGCGATGCAAGTCCTAATTCGAATCCTGGATCCTCTGTTTGAGAGGCGATAGGTAAAAGCATTAGGCTACAACACCTTTTTTATGAACAAAACATAATGTTTGTTTTATTGCGTAAAGAAAACCTCACTTAATTTAGTTGCTCCACTTTCAGATTTCGATCCATATTTTAGATCTGAATAAAAAAGCTATAAAAATTTCCAAACTCTTCTCACTCAGGCGTGGGCAACCAAGTTGTTTGACGATCTATTCCTTTAGATGGGCCTCACTCGTAGGGCGCACCTTGGCATTTCGTCGGTTCTCTCCCACGTCGACTCGCTCCCGCGTTGGCCGCCGCCAGATCGAGGCTCCTTCGGTGCGCCTCGCTTGGGTCAAAATCAAATAAACTGGTTAACTCATTTTAAAAGATACGCTGTTCATGATATAATTTTTACTAGTACTAAATGCACATCCTATAACTACATTTCATATAATTCTCGACTGATATAATATTCACATTTTATAAGAACATTTTATATAAAGCTCTTGTTATAACAATCATTTCATTTTTGTCTGTTGGGATAATTTATACGAGGTATAATATCGTCTTATAAAAATAATAAGGTTGCACCGACTCGCCGTGGTACTTGTCTGTTCGATATTAGACCGTGATTTAAAAGCCGTAGCAAGTAGCGTAGACCTCCTTGTGAAAGAGTTTGTCCAGGGAAGTACTGCCACCTTAACTATTTCTGCCAAGCAGTAATGTCAGCTTTACTGTTCCGGTTTTGAATGGTAAGTAAGGATGCTGGTGTAATTACAGGCATATGGGACTTGTCAACTTATGTCTCAGGGTGACGGGCGCAGTGGCAGTGCCTCTCGGATCTTTGCGATTTAAAGCTCTGAGTGGCTCTGCAACTGTTACGGACGTGTTGCTTACAAAAAAGTACGTCCAGGGAACTATTTCTGCCAGCACGGAGTAATAAATAATAATAATAAATAATAAATAACGCACACACTCAACATAGCCCCGCACTAGGGAAACCCTGTGTCGCGGGTGCCATGGACACACATATAGACAACCACAAATTACACCCAAACTCACGAGAGAAATAATTGTAGGCCATACAACTATTTCTCCCGGCCCGGGAATCGAACGTGGGACCTCTGCGTGGCAGTCCGGCATGGTAACCGTTCGGCCACGGAGGCAGTAATGACAGCATTACTGCGTTCCGATTTTATTTTACATTTTTAGGGAAACTAACAGCGAGGTATATAAAAAGTTACAGTTGTAAATATAGATGGCTAATACAAATTTCCACAAATAAATGAACAGTAAAAACTTTTTACAGGTAATGAAACTATTTTTCCGGATTTAAATCGCGTATATTTGTTTTTTCAAACAAACCGAAATTTAAATCCGGAATTATCTACACACATATCATAAACTCTCTATAATATGTTCAAAAACTACAAATTACGACCAGCATAAAGCTAAAGGCTGTTTTGTTAGAACAAATTTTCTATCTGTGAAAATGTTATTATTGCTTCATAATAACATCGAATTCGATGTTATTATTACATTCAAATTTCGAACATATTTGAAAAACAAAACAATTTCTTTGGACTTCGATTCTAATATCAATCAAGATCTTAGAGGATGGACAAAAATTAAAGGAAGTCGAAATGAAGTTTTATTCGAAATGAAATGTCAATGGCAAACAATTTTGACAATTTCACGTTACTTGATATCAATATGATAGTTGGGGCCTATTGTAGTTTGTCAATGAATTCAAAATAAAAACTACGGTGCTGTGACATGCGTGAGAAAAGTTTTTATTTGCCGCCATTTCGCCAGTCGTAACATGCGGTTCCTGAACACACCATAGAGAGCTTATAATATGTGTATAGATAAAGTTTATGTAAAAAAAATAATAATTAGGCATTAAAACACTCGTGAGATATTTTTATGAAACTCGCCTGGCGGCTCGTTTTATAGTTTAATGTTTTAATGTTTTTAATGCCTTTCATTATGTAACAGTCACGTAAACTACTATATTAAAGTGTCGATTTCATGTTCATCAGTGGAGAGCAATACAAAAGTGTTTGGAGAGGGATCACTTTTGAGAAATATTTGATCATGAGAGGAGACAATTTGCCTGGCGAGGGTTTATCCGAGATTTGCAAAAAAATTAGTTGACATTATTAACAGAGGTTTGAGGATTGAGATCAGATGAAGTTATTAGTTCAGTAGGTGATGAGTTTGATTTTGATGTGTTTGTAACATTTTTTATAACTTCCCAAAATTTTTTAATATTCTTGTCAGCTTTTTATTTCAGATTTTTCGTGTTCGATCTTAGTTTTCTGTAGTAATGGCTGGCTAACCAGTTTAAGTAGTCGGCCGAGGGATGATCGATACTATCCCGGGAAATATCACTGTTTATGGTGCCGGCTACGATGATATTTTTGAACGAGAAGTACCTACACAACGCAGTGTTCAGAGATTCTAGGAACTTAAACACATTTTGTTCGACAGGAGGTCTATAAATAGAAATAACAACACTCCTCGTCAATGAACCAGAATAAGGCAGTTAGCATCTGAGAGAAAAGGTTTAGAAACGTGATAGCGAAATTTTAGTTGTAATAACGCACACACATACTCATAAAGCAACACACACACGTAGCCCCTCACTAGAAAAACCCTGTATCCTATCTGTGCCATGGACACACACATAGACAACCACAAATTACAACCAAACTCACGAGAGAAATAAATGTAGGCCATACATATTATATTTATCCCAGCCTGGGAATCGAACCCAGAACCTGCTGAACTGCGTGGCAGTCTGGCATGGTAACCGTTCGACCACGGAGGCAGTCACTTACAGTTACAATAACAAGCAATAACTCAGCCTGGGATCTATGAAAACTAGATGCTGAGACATTATATCCTGGATGGTAGGAATCGGAAGAGAATTAAGCAACCAGCACTCAGTAAGTATGATGATGTCCAAATCAGTTTCGGCTCTATGTAATAGAGTGAGCAATCCATCTAAGTTACAATTAATGCTTCTGATATTTTGATTGAGTAATTTTAAAGATTTAGTCTTGGGTATCTCCTAGACTAAGTCTTTAACATTACTTATTTTGCGCAGTCCTCTATCGTGCACGTCGAGAACTCAGCCACCGAAACAGAGTCAAGATCAGCACTGTAAGAAATAAAGTTATCGAATGTTGATTGTTAACGATGAGAACTTGTATTTTAGAGGGACATAATCACAGGATATATTATTATTTGAGTGGTGGAGGTCGATTCAAGTGATTTTAGATTGCAGAAAAGGTGCATCATATATGAAGATAAATTAATAGAATTCACAAAGTATGTTACAATATTATTATTTATTAATACCCTTCTTAAAATGTTGTGCAACTGTAGTAATAGTAGTATGTGTATGGGCCACCTTACTCCATACATGGATTGTAGTGGTAGTACGCAGAGAAAGACAATGGTAAAAGTATATTGTACGTAAAAATACAGATACTATGGTGGCAAATCTTTCCTTGATGTCGTGTTTAGGTGGACAGTTGGTAACGTACTACGTCAAATAAAGTGTGAATCAGTTATTTAAGTTAAAGTGCGGCACGTGGCTAAAGTAGATCGCCGCGTGCGCAGAGTTGTACCGAAGAATGTATGAGACCATACAGTATGTAAGTAGTAGAGTGTGTACATAAATTCAATTCGTAGGGCATGAGTATTAACGTAAAGATACAAAAACTGGATAATATCAAGAGTTAAAAGCAGTCACAATGTAGACGATTTAAGTTTAAGAAAGTCGTCTTCGGAAATGGTGCGTATGGCTGGCGTACTAGGTCTACTTTTTATGTAAATTTTTCCATATGACGATATATATTAACGATGATTGTTTTTGGTGTACCTACCTAGGCCTATTGTTCAGAATTTTATTTATTCATTTATTGCACTGTCACACTTATATTATTTAGTAGTCATGTTCCGACAATGTCCGACAGAGAACACAAGCGGAGACTGAAAAACAGCACCATGCTGAGGCTGCGTCCGTTTCATCAACACATTACAAATAGAAAACTGAGTAACCCATAGTTTGTATGTAGGTACATGTATCATGTGATTTTCTTTCGATTTTTCTTATACAGATATCGCACTGCTAATACAATAGTGTATTAACTCAAAAAGTGTATTTTCTTAGAACCGATGTAAAACGAATTACTTCACTTCTCGTGACAGATTATGAAAATTTATGTATAAGTTAAAGTTTATTACAGACATATAACAATTTCATATTTTGGAGTAAGGACTGTTTCATCTCTTAACTTATTTTATAAAATTTCCTTCACAGTGAGCATCACTAACATGATTACCATATCTTATTGTTCCATAGCGTTTGAATTATTTTACGTCTATGGTTCTTATGAAAAAATCTGCCTGACATATTAGTGCATAAAGCGTCAAAACGAAAGTATCTTGCATTTCCAGTCAGAGTTTTTAAGTTGCTATGGCAACGGCGTCCAAAGACAATGTCAAACTTGATAACGGACGCGCGCGTTGTCGCGTCACCACGGCGACGGCTACTTGTTACACGCGCTGCGCTCGCCCGCCCCGTGACCGACGAATAATAAACAATCGGGATCTCGCTACGGCCTTCGTTCGTATCACGGGACACCCCGGCCGAAAGGACTTGAATTATTGAGCTTCTCGGCGTGAATGTCCCGAGACGCGAGGATAAGCGCCACTATGTTACGGTGATCGATCGGGGTTGACGTCTCCCGGTTCCATTTTCGAAGCGGCATAGCTGTCGAATGCGAGGCCGCGACAGTGACAGTGACAGCGAGACGTCGTCGATCGGAGAGGTGGGGAGGCAGATGAGCGCGGCGCTGCGTGTGCTGCTTGGTGCTGGCCGCGTGCGAGCACTGCTACTGGGCCGTGACGAAGCTGTTGCACAGCGACAAGCGCGATGAGCGTCAGCGTGCGTTCGGTGCTTGTGGAGGGCCCAGCGGCGCCGCGCGCGAGGGGACAGTTCACTTATGCTAGCACGCCGCGCGCGCTGTACAACAACATGAAGCTCAAAAGGGACCCCTCTTGGTGAGTGCATCCCGCTGTCTACTAACTTCTCCTCCTACTTATACATATGCACTTGACTGAGCTAGGTAGGTCAAGATAAATACATCGATTTAATTACGAGTTTGGGTATCACTTGCACTATGTAAATGTTCTGATAATAGTAAATACTTACAGGATGGCCCAATATCATTTCACAAATATCGTAATTATACCTGGAAACGTAACGGACGAATGTAACATTACCATAACATTGTTATCATGTTCTTATACTGCATTGCAAACTCTGCGCTGTCAGCTGTGAGCAAATACTACGGTTGGTTGTTCTTACAATAAGAAAATAATCGTCAATTGAGCCACTTGAGTGGCGTGTACGACGTGGATAGACCTTGAACCTCGGGGTGTTGTGTTCCAGCGGGCATTGCCGCGTCGCGTGCCCCCTGCGCCTTGTGCAGGCGACGCCGGTGATCGCTTATGCTGGCTACACTGCCTTAAAGCTCTGCCCTAGCCAACGCTTGAAAGATTAATCAACAAGCATTACTTTGTTTCTTAAAACATTTTTTCATGCTCAGTGGACTATAAACTTACGCAAACAACGAACTATTATATATACACTTACATACCCAGCCTGGGTTTAATTGGTGCTATTAAATGGAGGCTCGAATTCAAATACCTTATTTTTGTACAGACGGCGGCGCATCAAGCTACACATTGATAGATCTTGTTCCGTGAAACAGGAGGTGATATTTGAACAGAAGCTTGATGTGCTGTTGACTGTACATACTTACGTAATTCACTTAGGTAGGTACGCTTATCGCCAAGGCGGCGCTCGCAGACGAACTTCATAACGTATTACATATTATAGCTTCCAAGCAACACAGTATTTTTTTAAAGTGCTTAAGTCCGACGTACTACATTACATCGTCATTCCATCAAACCATACAATTTGGTGCCCGCAACTGCAATTTAAAAAATGGTGACGTTTACGAAAAATACTTGAGCACAACTTGAAACAAATCGTTGACCTGTTCATACGAGAATTGTCATGCACGGCACATACCTGGAAGCTGAATTGTCCGATTTTTATCGAATCTGCCTTAAGAAAGCTTCGTGTGTGGTTAAGGCGAATGGCAGGTGATATTACCTTAATTCAGATGGCGAAATGTTATGGTACGCGACGGTCGACGCTCCTCTTATCAAATGCGGCTGCACTGTTAAGGGAAAAAACGATGGATTAATTTTATTTTTCGCTGTAACGTATTGCCACAAGTCTTCCTTGTTAAATAAATAAATAAACAAATTTATTGAATTTTTGAACTAGTTAATTCGAAAGAACATAAATATGTGCCTAGTCCAATACTTTCAGTATTGCCAATAGGTTGAAACATATTTACTAAAGCTGCAACATTTCAGCACGACTTCGAAATCGTCGTATATTATCTACAGAACGGCAGGCTCGCCTAGCTCGCATGCATTACATGAACTACAGCTAGGCAATTATAACAACAGAAGCAATATTTTTTTGATATATAATAGACACAATCAATCAACAATATATGAAAATTACTTAGTTTTCAGTGTTTGTACATAGAACCTTCTTTCTATATATTATTCCTAATAGAAATCTTTATTTTTAATCAATCTTGCGTCAATTATGCGTCGCCGTTGGCATCGCCGGAGGACCTTCGCTTCTACTATTTCTCTTTTGACGCACTTTTCCTCCCACCGCCTACTATGTATTATATTTTATAAATTTCGGGGGAAAAGTGCGATAAAGATCGACAAGGTCGGTCGGATGACGCATACACTTATAAAGGCCCTTGAGAAACAATCACTTTTTATAGGAAATAAAACTATTTTTCCGGATTTAACCGCGTATATTTGTTTTTTCAAACAAACCCTTTGAAAAAACAAATATACCTAGGCGATTTAAATCCGGAAAAATAGTTTTATTTCCTATGTGTAACAATCGCGAAAATCAAACAACTCGATAATCAGTTTTTAGTTGTTCATATAATATATATATTGGACCGCGACACCCAATTTAATTATATTGATAAAACTTCCTAAACGTCCTTACTGGCGGCTATTTGCCTCGGTGTGCGGCAACGAAGACACCATAAGCGTGAAATGTTGCACAAGTTCAGTTCCATGGATAAGCTTAGTCAGGACCTATTTCCATCGAGCTACCTCACGCCGGCTGACCGCCACGTGCGACGGCGCGTGCGCGCTGAGTGCCGCCGCAGCGCCCGCCCCGCGCTGACCAGCGGTCGAGGCGGCCCTTCGCGCCAGTGATCGTCGGCCGCCACGCGCCAGCACGCGTCCGCAGAAGCCCTTCGCGGCGAAGAGCCATGTGAGACGCGCGATGCCGCCCGTGCAGCTGCCCGACGAGGACGAGGCCCGGCCGAGCGCGTTCACCGTCCTCGGGCGCGATGGCGGCGGGCGCCCGGCCGCCGGCGCGGGCGAGGCGCGCCGCGTGCTCGCCGTGAAGCCGCAGCGACGCGCGCCCGCGCCCCCGGAGCCCTCTTCGCCGCGCTGCATGCTGGATCCCAAATTCTCTCGCGCGCTGGACTTCCGCCTGCGGAGGCTGCAGGAGAAGGAGACGCTGCGCGCCAACCTCAGCCGGCCCACTCGTGCGCGCCAGCGCCGGGCGATGGCGGCGTCGGAGCCGGCGCTGGCGGCGCGCGCCGCGGCCGCGCCCGGGCTCGGCGGCTCGCAGCCCCGGCTGTTCGCGCCGGAGGCTACGTCGGGGGCCTCACCGTCCCCGGGCCGCCGAAGCCGCGGCCGCGTCGGCCGCGAGGCTGGCGAGTCGGACAAGCCGCGTTTCGTCACGACAGTAAAGACGGGGCAGTTCCTGCTGCCGCCCCCGGAGATCGCCTGCCTGCTGGGGCTCGAGACCCTCTACCCTCCGCAGGAACGCGAGAAGATCGTGTACTCGTACGCCAGCCGCCCGAAGGCGGTGACGTCGCACGCGAAGCGGGGGGCCGCGGCGGAGGCGCGCGCTCGCGCGGCCTCGGTGTTCGGCGGAGTGCGCGCGCTCGTGGCCGGCGTCGTGGGCGTGCGCGCCCTGCACGGGTACGTGGCGACGCGGGGCGGGAGCGCCGGCGCCACCGGTTCGCTCATTTCAACTTCGAAGACGATTTCAATGTCCGCTTCGATAGCAGGCTACTCCGATTATTCGATTCGATGATTGCTTCTCCATTCGTTGGTAGTTCCTCTTTTCTACAATTGACAATAGAGTTCAATTGTGAGGGCCGGCTGCGGGCAGCCCTGCTCGGCATGGCGGCGCCCCTCGCGCCCTCGCTCCACTTTCGACCGCTGCCGCTCGAGGTCAACTACACTAATTTCCGCCCATTTATTTTCCAGTCCTCTTTATACAACAGCTATAAAAATTATACTAAAACACATGTTATATATACGTATTTTTCGTACCTGTTTGTTTTCCGCAAAGTTACAAATACAATCATTAACGACGAACATTTTAAGCTTTAAGTTATATTATACTTGTAAACAATGAAGGCTAGATGCCGGTAGCGACGTGTGCAGGATAGTGATGGCGACATGATGTTGTTGCAGCGGCGGCGTGGCGTACTCGAACGTGATGCACGACAAGCGCGTCGTGCGCGGCTCTACCTTCGCCGCGCACCCGCTCGCGCAGGTCAGTCAGCACCACATGTACATAAATAAATAATTACACCAGCTTTCCATATCAGCTAGGCAGATACAACTGATCTCCACTCATAACAAATCAAATCTTCTAAAATCTTAGCAAATTTGCATCGCTTCGCTCTAATACACCTTACACGCACCGACGATGCCTAAATACCGACGTAGATACTTGGAAATGCCCATGGATGTAGAAGATCCCATGAAAAACATTAAAATAAAAAACACGGGTTCCGTGACACTTTACCATAACAGGTATAGTGAGGTCTCGTGTAAAGTCAAGTGTGGCGTACTTTTCTTTTTACCCTTGGTACCTACTCCTTTCAACAAACTGATAACAATTACTATCTTCATTCATAAACAATATTTCGTGACTTATTATTCGCACGGCATAAGAATACACGACACAACTTATATTATTCGATACTATGATAAATCAATCATTATCACTTACAGTCCAATGCAAATCCAAATTAGGACAATTTTTATATTTTATACAATTATTTTATTATTTTTCATTCTTGTCTTTCTCACACCCGGAAAATGAACGATGCAATACCGTTCATTGTGTCAAATACCATTTTACCTGTTTTTTTATCTCAATCAACCATCGCGCAGTGCACTCATTTTCCGCCTGTCAGATGTATCATTATTAGTTGTAAATCAAAACTAACAAATCTTCTTAACAATTATCATTATAAAAATTTAAGAACACGCTACAGATACAGAGGATTGAAAAGTACCCTTAGTGGCTGGCAGGAGATGAAATAGAAGGATGCGAAGGCAAGAGACATTTAGTACTATAACTGTGGAAGCAGATACTGAAATAAAAAGCAGAATGGCAATATGTTAAATACAAAAGCTGATAAATTGTAGGTTTGTCAGTTGTTAGTCACGGGCTAATTAATGATTTGTGGAAGTGATGTTTGAAAACTTACTTTTGTATTCAGTAATCATCCCGGACAGGACGTGTAAAGACCATGAAAGAAAAGTTTCAGGAACAACTTGGTACTTTTATTATCTATAAGGACATCTGTGTTATGATTTGTGATTTAATGCATTTGTAGGATAAATTAGTGCAGGTTATGAATAAGTGAAAGTAATTAAAGTTTTGGCAGATAAATTGGTTTATAAATATTGGTACGTTAAAACGAGTGACATAACATATTAATGAAAAACATTAAAGAACAAATATATAATAAATAAATGTTTATTTGTTTTTCACTAGACTTGAGCATTTTATAATTTACCAACAATCTACGGACCTGGTTCCGAAATAAATCATTACACTATTATTATTATAACAGTTCAATGACGAGTTGCAAAAAACAACGAAAATAAAATAGCTATTAAAGAGTGACGATGGTGGAGACGAGTACGACACCTCGAAATTGCAAATAGCTGTAGCTAGTGCTAGAGCTGAAATGCAAGACAATTTATAGAAATCGCAGGACAGTCCCAAAGGTTAGAAACAAGCTCTATAAAATAATATTATGAAATAATAGAAAATTGGAAAGTATACTTGGCAACGTTTTTATTATGAACAAACGTTTGAAGAGTTAGGAAATGTGCCTGTGCATATAGGTTTGGTGAACAGTGAGTATGCCAGAAGTCAAAGTCAAATAATCATTTATTCCATAGGTAAAATTTCCACCCTTGACGTCATTTTTTTAAGCTATTGCTCGTTCACTACGCTAACCTCCCTGAGAAGAACGAGCAAGGAACTCTAGGGATTGCTCTTTTCAAATGAAATTAAATGCTATGGAGCACACTTTGAATCAAAATTGTGTAGAATCAAGACTCATGTTGTCTTTCCATACTTCTTTATCTAACACATACTCTTCTATTTTTTAATATAACTTTTAAATTAAAATACTTTTAATGTAAGTTTTAAACTTAGGAAATGATAATTTTAATATATTCTCCGGAATCTTATTGTAAAAACGTACACAGCTCCCCATAAAATAATCGTTTACCTTCATTGACTTAGAAATAAATGGACGTCGGGTCCGCGCTAAAAAGTGTCCGAACTTATAGGGCGTTAAAATCGTGTACAGAGCGTCATTCACGCTTTAGTCTTCGTTTGTTCGACTGACAGCGAAGCAAGCAAAATTAGACAGTACTGTGATGACATTACAATTTAAATTCAACATTTTCATATTCCTTTACATGTCACTACGTTTAAATAGGTTGGCTTGGGACATTTTTTTCGTGGTTTTTGTATTAGACCCGTAGTCCATTTATTTGTAAGTCAATGTTTACCTTAGCTAAACGAAATCGTGGTATCATGAGTTTGGACTTAGTTCTAAGGTTAATATTATTGAAGTCTTTCTTAATAAAATAATGTATATTTCTACAGGCATACAAAATATTTGAGTAAATGTACTGTGATGCCACAGTCATTATACCAGTCTCCTTTTCTCTGAGAAAAACCCGAGAACCTAAACGGTACACAGAACGAATCGCTGGTTTTTGTAACACGAACGTGGTTTGTATGTCTGCCGCTGGAAGTGACTAAAGTAAACGAGTCTAGCAGTAGCAACATCGGTAAGCTCACGTATTTTACGGACTGCGTATGCAACAGAGCTTAATCTGAAAAAGAGAGGTTGTGAGAACTATAAAAAACTGAAATCTGTGAGTTCTTCATTGAAACATTGTAGGAAAGGGCGATCGAAGGGGGAAAACAACTACAATTATTACTCAATAATTGTCGTAATTACTGATTATTGAGCAATAATTGTCGTTGTTTTTTGTTGTAGTTGTTTTTAAATAGTAGGTGCTAGTAAATTGTCATAACCTTTGTCAACGATCGCACCTTCCTACATTGTTTCAATATGGTTTCAATTAAGAACTACAACTCTCAGCGGAGAGACTGGACTGACAGACCGTTGCGCTTCGCCTAACTATCGGATACTAATAAGAGTTTTGGTGTGTCCAGAAAGAAAATGGTGGGCCTGGGAAGTATGTGGAGCCAATTTGTGCTATACTCATAACATCACCTATAACATTGCGTCAGATCAACAATCGAAAAGATCGATGGGGCTGCAGGCTTTCATAAAGTGTCAATTTAAGCCTCTTCTTGATGATACTGAACGACTTGACCTCAGAAATACTGAAACAAGAGCACTCCTTCAGTAAGCACATGCTATTTTCTAACGACATTACCCTTTGCGATGAAAATGGACTGGAGGCTATACTAGTGAAATAGCAACAGTAACTGGAGAATGTTGATTAGGAAATGAGCACGTCAAACGTGTACTCCACACGTTTTACCATGTGTTTCGAACACTCCAGTTTCGTGCTAATATACTTGATGACATAACGTTACTAGCCAGCTCCGACGTTACTAACACCTCATCTCATTCTTATTGAACAACGTGCAGAATAGATGAAATGAGGACAGTTCACGGGAACTCACTCTTAAACTGAAGAAGAAAGAATACATAGCTCGAGCCGTTGCCTTGCCTAGAACTACAACGGTACGTATTAGCCCATTAAGGAAAAAGAAGAAAGAAGAATACATGCAACTGATTGATGATTTATTGCAGTAGTAGAGCTCCTTGTGAAAGAGTTCACCCGGCCATGAAAGTACCACCACCACATTACCTATTTCGCGTTCCGGTTTTGAAGAGCAAGGGCGCTGTTGAAATTACAGGCTCTTGAGTATGTGTGTATGTGGAAGTTATGGGTGAAGTGTGGAACCAAAGTAAGAATTATAAGACATAAGAACAAATTCTTATAAGGTCAGTGACCGTCTTATATTATGAAAAACGCACATTGTAAATTAATTTGGATAATTTGCAATATAAAATATTAAGCTAGTTATTGATTGTCTTTTATAAAAAAAAAACACCTTAAACTTAAACCACAAAATGCGGTTAAACAAAAAACTTCTTTATATGTGTGCATACCTGTCCCAAGCAGCACACCCTATCTAAATACGAGTATATACTATAAGATATCTAATAGAATTTAATTCGATTGAATATTTTAAGAGTTCAAATTCCCTCAAAATATCGCGAAGAAGGTTTCTAGATAATTTAAAGTAAAAGTGGGCACAACTTTATTCGTAGATCACAAGAGTGCTTTGAGAAACTAATAGATTTCAAGTTTAATGGCTAAAATATAAACTATCAAAATGGCAACAAGGCGAAATTAGATATAATATTTCTGACTTTTTCGCGCAATGTTTAATCGGTTAGAAAGCGCAAATTGACGTGCGACTTTAAATACATTGTGAAAAGTGATGTAAAACCTGCCATAAAGTAATGCGCTCGCTAAATTTTAAATATTTATGTATAAAATATAAACTTAATAAAAATACAGTTATCGATTTTCGGTTTTAAATATTATAAATAAAGAAAGCTTAAATATACAAAATAACTCACAAAACAAACCATTTCCAAGAAGTTCTAGGTTTCTTCAAGCTAATTTCAAGTTAGATTTACTTTTTAAAAAGAAAAGAAATTTTCCTCGGCTACTTCATAGTCATTCTTTAAAGATAAAAATGGCGATAAGAATTTAAAGCTTTTTAAATTGGCTTGTTAAATTCCCTATCATGTAAATATAAGGAATATTTTAATGACATATCTAACTTACGTTGGAAGAAATAAAATTTTCATTACAAAATTGGAGTTATTTCTTCACGCCAACCACATTTCACACAATGATTTCACTGTATTCTATTGATAGACGGCACAATACACATACACAACATTGAAGTACAGTAGTTTACGCGCTCATTTCAATTGTTTTTATCATTTCACAACACAGAATTACTTCACAATGTTTATTTATTTGTCAACAAATAAATGGCCATGACCGGCCCGAGCGCGAATTACGACTATCGTATCCAGCGTTGCCAATTTGTGAGGAATTCCCCAAATTGTGGGGAGTTTCAACTAGACTGGGGATTTTGTGGGGGTTGGCGCTATGTGAGGAAAATGTGGGGATTCTAACATTTTATCATTTTGTTTAATCTATCAATTGCTG